CATGCTGTTACTAAGAGTGGCAACAGGATAAAGGGTTATTTTACTGAGGGCAGGGTACTCATCTTTGTTCCTCACAGTTCTTTTAGCATGTCGTGAGATGACTCATTGGTTTAAGTAGGTTCTAGTTTAGACATGTTAAATTTTGTGAGTGCCACTCTTATGGGTGAAATATAGGTCAGAAACAGGTGTTTGAGAGAAAGGTTGGGAGTAGGGCTTTTTGTTTTGCTTTTAACTTTTTCTTTTTAAAAAATAGTTTTAGTGTTTAACAACTTTATTAAGAGAGAATTAACAATCCAGAATTATAGAGCTATCAAGACTGAATGAACCCTTGAACTTGTTGTCCTGAGATAATTTTTAAACCTTAAACCAAAAGCATCTCCTGAAATCTTTAAGCTAAGCAATAAGTTAATTTATTTGGTAAGGAATATTTGCTTTGAATCATTTCCTTTCGGAGAACTATCCCCTTTCGGAGAACTATCTCCTTGGGATTAAATTGTTGAGCAACTCAAAAGATCCGGTTGGAGAAAAAAAAAAAAAAAGATCTGGTTGGAAGCTTGGGACCAGCCAGTTTATGTTACTAGAGGAAGACCAATTCAAGCAATGAGGATGAGAACATGGCCAACGTGTCAGTTATACATGTGAATTTTGCATATGCTTTAATGTGTATATTTTCAACAATAATTTAAAAAGACATAATTCATATACCCTACAATTCATCGATTTAAGTTGTGCAATTTCAATGGCTTTTCCTATAGTCATTGAGTTGTACATTTTTAGTGCCCTGGTGCCTGTTAGCAGCCACTCCCGATTTCAGCCTAACAAAGAACAAACCCACTGCCATCCATCAAGTTAATTCTGACACATAGGGACCATGTATAGGGTTTCTGAGGTTGCAAGTCTCTTTAAGAGCAGAAAGCCTCATCTTTGTCCTAGTTCTAGCTCTCTGTTTCCAAGAAAACCCAAAACACTACCATTAGCCAATTGCAGCATGTAGCAGCCCTACAGGGCAGTTCAGTTCAGTTAGAACCGCCCTGTGCGTTTCCAAGGGTTTATTTACCGGCGTAGAAAGCCACATCTTTCTCCCTTGGAGTGGCTGGCAAATTTGAACTGCCGACCTGGTGCTTAGCACCCCAATATGTAACTCACTGTGCCACCAGGGTGCCTGTTCCAGCTTCAGACAGCCACGTATTTGCTTTTCGTTTCTGTGTTGTTAGGTGCCTGAGTTGGTTTCCCTGGAAGCCACGGGGTGGGGGTGGGGGTGGGGGTGGGGGCACTGTTTTCATTGGAGTTTTAAAATACGGTAAACTTTTTTATTGTGTATTGTGTTACAAGGTTTACCAATCAAATCCGCATGTACAGTTTGTTTCATATCATTCATTGCAATCCTGACAGTGTTGCATCATTTACCCTCCTTCCTCCCTGTGTTTCCTAATTCGATTCTTCCTTCTTTCTGAATCCTCTGAACGGGTCAGTGCTGCCCGTTGGATCGTAAGTGGCTGATTCTAAGATGTGCATACCTCCCCAGTGTTGCTGTTCGCCTTACAGCCTTGTGTCTCTTGTTTGGCTGAAATTTGTGGCACCAGGGTGTTCAGTTCCCGACCTGACGGCAATAGTCTCAGAGTTCCCACCATCCTATATTTGACCAATAAGTTTGATCTTTTTTATAACTTTAAGTTTTTTTTTGTTTTGGTTTTTAACTTTAAGTTTTGTCCCACCTTTTTGTCTTACTCTATCCAAGACCTTCTAATGCACTCCCCTTGAGAGCAATTGGTAGTGGTAGCGGAACACTCTTCTGCTTTCAGGGTGGTAGAAACTGGTATTTGGGTGGTCCATTAGGCCATTGGACTAATTCTTTCCATGTGCCTTCAGTTTTCCTTACTCTTTTCCTCTGGATAGAGACCAAGAATTGCATCTTAGATGGCCACTGGTAAGCTTTGAAGACCAATGGCTACTCATCAAAGTATGCCAATTGCCTTTGAGTGGATTTTGCCTCACAGCGGCCCCATGTGACAATAGATTTTTGAGACTGTGGTCTTCTTGGGAATTGGTCGGCAGGTCTTTACTCCGTCACTAGTGGGTTTGAACTACCAATCAGTGGGATAGCAGCCAAGCTAACCCAATTAACCATTGCACTACCAGGGCTCCTTGCCCATCCTGGATATTTTATACAAATGCAATAACGAATCACGCGACCGTTTGCAACTAGCGTCTTTGACATAGCGTAACGTTTTCAAAGGTCATCTATGTTGTAGCATGAATCCGTACTTTTTAAAATGCCAACCAGTATTCCCTTGTATGAATATACCACGTTTGCTTTATGTATCTGTTTATCAGCTGATGGTCTGTAGGGTTGTTTCCGCTCTGGCTATTGCAAATAATGCTATTGACAACATTTGTGTCCACGTTTCAGTGAACCCAAGCTCTCATCTCTGTTACGTCTCTAGCAACCAGTAATTCCTGGGTGGTACGTTATTCTGCTGAAAGGGACAGTTTCAGTCAGTCTCATAGCAGAGAGAGTGCAAGAGGCGGTGAAGGCATCAAAAAAGTGAAGCCTGAAGAGGGAGGAGTGCCTAGGACTAAACTGGAGACACCTGTCCCACTGTGGTAGGCAGAGGAAGAAGGGCTGAGCACAGGTGGCCTAGAGCCCAGAGAGCCAATCTCCATAGGAGAGCTACAGTAACCTTTCCTGTACATACGCTCTTCCATCTATTTGTGGTACAGAGACCCAAAACTGGATTGTGGTATGTTATGTTACTGGAAAACACAAGCTGAACCAGATTAAAATAGGTCATTTCTCCTTTTTTTTTAATTCCAAAAGCAATTCTACCTTACTTCTGCTACCTGCTACATACACCACCACCACCCCCCAAAAAATTGCTTGAAATCAGAAGTGTCCCCAGAAGTGTTCCAGGAATGAGAGGGGAGTTCAAGGATGGCAGCTCTAAAAAAAGACACATTTCTCCTCTTTTCTTGAACCTGGAGCACGGTGCTGCTTACGAAAGGCCTTCCCCTAGCCTAGAGTCTCACTTGAGCCTCACAGTGCTCTGTATATAACGTTTTATCTTTCTTTGCTACAATTTTGGATTTAATTTGTGAACCCTCCTGACATTCCTAAGTTTTGCAGGTCAGCAATCTGATCTCCTATAGTTTATAATTATTAAGTTACAGTGTAGCTTTACATCCTTTTACCTTTTGGGAAAGTATTCCTTAAAAACAAAAGTGTCGGGGACACCCAGTGCATGTAAGCATAGGAACTCATTGATGTAAGGTCCAACAGAGAGTGGAAAACCAGGAGAAAGGCCTCACAGTCCAAAATGAAAGGACTTGCCATCTTCCCCTTCCTCTGCCCCAAACGTCGGTCCAGATAGCATAGTGAGCGTGTAAGGAAGAAAGCTGAGTAATTCAGGACTATTTAAGGAGGGTTTGGGAGCAGAGCACGTACCATTTGCGCAAGCAACAACTGAGGGCTCCCTCCGCTGTTCAAGAGGGGACTGAGGGACCTGAGTTGTTGATTTCTATCATGTGGTGTGTGTGAGAAGTTCTCCTGCTCTGGCTCTTCAAAATGTGAAGGTAATCACTGGTAAAAAAGATGAGAACATCTGCTACTTAGAAGTGAGTATTAGCAGGAAAATGGGGAGCTAACAAGTGTGAGAAGAAATATTCTGAAATTGATTTGGGTGTGATTGCATAATTCTTCTAAATAGGATTGAATGATTAAATTGTGTGTTATGTAGAGAATATCCCAATAAAACTATTTAAAAAGAAATGGGTTATACTTGTATATACTTTTTTTTAAAGAGAACTAGCTTTTAAATTGACTGGCTTTTTAAAAATTTATTTCTGTGTGCATTTTGGCCAAAGGAATTTGGAATCAATATCTCTGATAAATCCTTGTTTTGAATTCTTGAGTTGCCAATTATTTCTCATTCTCTTCCTTGTTAGGGTTAGGGTTAGGGAAAGCATCAAGAATCAAAGCAAACAGTTTCTTTGGTTAGCCAGTTTCGATCTCTGATAGCTTAAAAGTGGATTTTGTTCTAGAAATTACACACATTTGGTAGATTTAAATGTATTCTTATGAACTACTTAATGTATACATTTCAGGAAATAATCTGTATTCCCACCACCCAATCGAAGAACTTAAACAGTACTAATATAGTAGAAGTTTTTTTAGCCCCCACCCCCTCATTTCCCCCAAATGGCCATGTAACATTTTAGGTAGATTGCTTTTTACCTCTTATTGGGAGGGTGATAACGGCCCTATTTAACTTAGGAGGTTGTCGTGAGCATCATATTCAAGGTTTCCTAATGAAAATGCTTGGAAAAAATCCCAAGGTGTTGGAGAAAAAGGAATGATTCTGTAAAGAGCTGGTGTAGTCCTGTCTTGCACTAGGTTGGGTAGCTATCACTCCAGTGATTGGTCAGCGGTGAAGAGATGGCGATTTTCTTCACGTCCTCCTCCAGAGAGAGAATGCTTCCTGAGGAAAAGTCGGTGTCTCTGATTCTTTAGAGTTCCTTGGTGTATATTCATCCAACAAGTGTTTACTGAGTACCTACCACATGTCAAGTACATGCCTATAATGCCCACAGCTAGGTATTGGGCATACAGCAGTGAACAAAACAGAAAAAGTCATGCCCTGAAAACAAATAGAAAATCACCTTTGTTTTATGTCGGGTCCATCCTTGCATGTTTTGATAGATCTTATTTACATTTGCTATTCCTTTAGACTTGAATTGAGAAGTATTTAGAAGGCATCATTTGAATTGAGATCAAACAGATATCTATTAAAAGCTTAAGCTTTTTCCCCACCAATTCAGCTTACTAAGGGGAAATACTCAATACCTGATAATTGAGGTAGAATTTCCTTTACGCTAATCATTTAGAGCTTAGAGAGCTTTTGTCTACGCTGTGAAGGTTTTAAACTTTTATCCCTTCCTTTGATTTGTGTCAGGCTGAACCGTTTGATGTAAAAGACTTGCCTCCATAATCTGCATCTGCCCCAATGCTGTCATCCGGAGTAGAGATTCAGCCAGTTCCACTTGATTCCTCCATGTCTGCTGTGGTACAGGAATTAGACTCTGAACTCCCAGTAAGTGTCTCCAAAGAGCTTCATGCTGATTCTGAGCCAAATGGGATTCCACATGTAAAACCCAGAGCCTCGAGGGCTCGTTTGAGTCAGAGTAGGACATTACCTCTGGAACAGCAGAGGACTCGTGTGAAAAGTTGTGAAGAAAACTCTGAGACCTTGGATGATGGGGGTGAGCCTGGGAGGTGTGGGATGGTGGACTCCACAGCAGGAGGTGCTATGGCGTCTGTGATCTTGGATAGGGAAGCGAAAACCAAGAACATGGAGCTAAAGGTCTTCAGAAATCCAGGGAACCAGGATGAAATGATAAGAAACATCTGTGAGGGAGCAAAGGAAGACCCAAGTCAACCTTCAGCAACCGACGAAGAAAAGATCACAAGTCAGGTAAGAAATGAGAACATGATTCAGATGAATGGAGCATGAATGACAGCTTTCCAAAGCAGTACTCCGTAGTATAAAATCCAGATGCTCACGGGGAGCTTAAATTTATTCCTAAAGCCTTTCCAAAGTCATGGATTCCGATGCTTTCTCTGGTCTTTCACATATTTGTGGCACAGACACGGGCAGAGAGCAGTTGTGGATCTAACGAGAGTGTCTTTGCAGAAGCCGCTACAGTACATGGAATGTTGAGTTCAGTTAGGATAGTCCATTGGTGGGTCAGCATTGGATGCTAAATGATGTGTGTCCATCCCTGAGTTTTGAGAGTCATATAATTAAGAGTAGAGCTGGATGTCACCGAGATGTCTTTAAGGGTGGTCTTCAGAGATCAATACATTAGACCAGCGGTTCTCAACTTGTGGGTCGTGACCCCTTTGCGGGTCTAATGACCCTTTCACAGGGGTTTCCTGATTTATAACAGTAGCAAAGTGACAGTTAGGATGTAGCAACGAAAATAGTTTTATGGTTGGGGGGTCACCACAACATGAGGATCTGTATTAAAGGGTCGCAGCATTAGGAAAGTTGAGAACCACTGCCTTAGAGGAATCACCATATTTTAGAAGCTGATTCTTACTTATTTTTGTTGCTCCAGAAACTTGATTAATATATTTCCGTGTACTAGAGGGGATAGTCTCCTGAAGTTAACCCATGCTAACCTACCTCATGAGCCACTGGTATTCATCCAAAAGCCAGTGGCACTGTACATAATGAAATGAAAACTGAAGGGTAGAAATGGTCACATTGGCTTGTTAGCATGCTTTTGCCCTGTAAACATGCATACATGGAAAAGCTCATTTCTGTCAGTGAGCTGACTCAAATGAGAGTAAACGGAGTTAGAAAAGTGAAACTAATGTTTAGTGAGTCATGCTAGTCTAGTGGGCCCAAATCCCTTCCATTGATTTATCTGCCTTCCCTCACTCCAAAAAAATAGATTTTGTCCAGTGAGCAAATAAATGCATTCTCATCCCTGAATTTTTTTTTGCTACAACAAAGGTGGGCAAATATTTTGTTTCTTTTTTTGTTTTTTGATGAAAATATGCCCAGCATATTTTCTATATGTGCAATTCAATACCATTGGCTACACTTTTCCACATTGTGCGAAGATCTTGCTACCCCTCCCTGTATTATTTTACCCCCACTGACTTAAGCTCACTACCCTATGAACTACTCATCGTGGCTTTAGTATTACTAATGTTAATTTGATCCCATAGATCAGGCGTCCTCAAACTACGGCCTGCAGGCCACATGGGGCCCGCCGAGGACATTTATCTGGCCCATGGGCTGTTTTTGCCCCGTTTGTTTTTTTACTTCAAAATAAGATGTGTGCTTTTACTTTCATTGTGCTTTGCTCACCATGGGAGAAAGATGAGAGTTTCTAAGAGTTCACCCCAGAAACGCACAGGGCCAGTTCTACTCTGTCCTATAAGGTTGTTGTGAGTTGAAACCACTGGATGTCAATGAATTTACACACTTACATCCACATGATTAGTCTTTGCATCATGTTTATGTTAGTGTTTATAGTTGCCCTTGAGTTTGGTACAGCTGCTAAGAACCACCTTACTGTTACACATTAAGGTGACCAGACGTCCCGCTTTTGGCGGGACAGTCCCGCTTTTTAACAATTTTTCCCACATCCCGCCGCATTTTTAAAAAGTCCCAATTTTTGGAAAGAATCCACAACAAGCTAGGGTATATGGTTTTCGGCTGCCAGGATATGAGTTTTATCAATGGTGTCCCACTTTTGTCCCGGTTTACCAATGTTAAAATCTGGTCGCCTTATTATACATGCTACATTAAGAGAAAGGTGTTAGCTGAGCTGAGGGGTGACATTTAAGCTCTGTTTTGTGCTGGTTCACCTGTAGCTAGACTAGCTGCTAGAGTATAGTGCTCTACCCTTTGTGTCCTACATGAGAGAGGAATGGAGAAAGTCTGACTTACGTTACCCCCATGTATGCAGAATAGAGTACACTGTAGGATTTTTTAAGGCTTACTGAATCAGCTTGCTGTTAACATGCTACATTAAACCTGAAAAGAAACAGGTTGCCAAGGACTCACGTCATTAGTGCTTTTCAGTTTGTAGTCCAATGCTTAACCACTTATGCCACTCAGAAACTCTCATGTTTATAATCACAAAGTATTAAAAGCAACCTAAAGATTCATATATGGGAGGTAGGTTCTTTAAGTTATGACACATTCATACAGTGGAGTATGAAATGCTCTGCAGCTGTAATACACACTGGTTTTCTGGTGTGTTGGGATTGTCAAGACAAGACTCGGTACATAGTCTACTCAGTTAATATATTCAGTGAAAAGACATCCTTTACAGAGAAAGGATATGAAGCAAAATCAGTTAAGGGAAGAGATGCATGGGTTGAAGTGCAGAGGAAACCAGGCAAGACTTTCTAAGAATCTATCCCTACGGAGCCACCATGCTTAATTCTTCCAGCAAGGAATTTGTTACAGGATGTGTGAACTGTTATGGACCAGGGAAACTCATTAGACACTCAGCACCCGAGTCTGTATTGGGTGGCTGGTCATGTAGGTACCCTCTGCATGTACCAGAATTCCAGACTCTCAGGAGGAAAGCAGGCATAAGCCAAATGGTTTGTGTAGTCTAGGCATAGTGAGCTACTTTCATCATTAGAGGATGGTGGGAATCCTCCTAAAATCCAAGTTCCCAAATGCCACCCAAGGGCCAAGCAAGTATTTTCTTAGGATAGTCTCAGACCTGCTGGTTAAATCTTTTTCTTTTCTTTTTTTTGCACGCCAGGACATGCTGTTAGAGCAACGTGCAAAGGAATTCTTGTAATATCCTCTTCTTCCTGTAAGAAAGAAGAGAACATAAGCAAGCTTGGAAATAGCTGCTCACTTGTACATGACTCACCCACATGCATAGATAAGATCAGCCAGAACCAATGAGTGTGGTTACTTACAGAGAGCAGTCTGCAAAGAATAAGGAAATGGGATCAAAATAGAAGGATGGGAGAGTAACTCATCTCTGAAAATGCCTTTTCGTATACTTGTGACACCAAGAACTATGCTGACTTCTCTCTACTCAAAATAATGAAACAACCAAGATGGAGGTAACCCCAAACTGAATACAAATCATAACAAATGAACTGTATTTTCCTTTACTGCCATCTAGGCAATTCCTCCTCATAGCAACACTATAAAAATCAAAATCAAACTCAACTGTTGTCGAGTTGATTTTGACTCAGCAATCCTATAGGACAGTGGTGAACTGTCCCTATGATTTTCCAAGACTATAACTCTCCACTGGAGTAGAGAGCCTCGTCTGCACTGCAGACTCTGCAGTTAGCAGCCCATCATGTTACCCACTACCCCACACTGTTGGACAGAGTAAAGCTGCCTCTGGATTTCCAAGACTGAATGTTTATGCAAGTAAAAAGCCTCATCTTTCTCCTGAGGAGAGGCTGGTGGGTTTCAAGTGCTGACCCCGGGGTTTACAGGCATCTGTACCATAAAGACTCCTTCCTAACTGTATGACCAACGAGTAATCAAATCACAGTGAGGAAGAAGAATAACTAACATCGGGAAATAGTATTTTGGTCTATATGCTGTAAGACTCAAGGCTAAAAGGAACTATGTAAATCAGTGCTTCAGACTAGCTTGTCCCTGTTCTGTCATGGCTGACAAAGCAAAACCAGAATGGACTCAGATTTGTAAAATGTGGTCTACGGGAAAGAAAAGCTGGAACGAGGGGGAAAAGGTACTGATTGATGCCCTGCTAGAAACGCAGTCTGTCTTAGAAAACAAGGACAATGCATGTTACGTAGCAACCAAAGCTGCTAAAGTATTATTTTTAATTAACAAGCTAGTTTTTGAAATGAGTAACTAACTTGTGGAGAGATACTTTGAGACTATTTGTTTCTCCTTCAAACTTGTAGCTATTAATTTTAACATCCGTTGATGAATTTGCCCAAAGCAACCCTAACAGCATTGGCTGTCAAATGATGATTTTTCATATTCCCATTACTCATTTTTATTAACAATGTGTTAATGAAAATATATTTATTAGGATTCTGTAAGACCTCTTTTTACAATTTATTCATTTAAAAATTTTTTCTATCAGCATAGAATTTGTGGATATATATTTTATTCTATAGATTGTAATTCATTGCTGTTGTTTTTTAGTTTAAATTCCACTTATCCCAGACTTTCTCATTGAGTACGCCTTCAAGTTAAGTCCTTTATTCTTCTGACAAGCTCCTATGATCTGTTTTCTTCCTTCCTTTTGGGGGGGAATTTTCTGACTATCTGTCACCATACATTGTTCCAGGTGTGTCTTAGTTCTTAATGCTGCTATACCACAAATACCACAATGGATGACCCTAACTAACTTAACAGGAATTTCTTTCATCACAGTTATAGTAATTGGTCTTCTTTGTATAGATAATATCCTATTGCTTCAGAATAGATCTTGACGTATTCTTTCTGACAGTGAATCCAACATCATTCTTCTTTATTATTCCTAGGTCATTTGATTGTCTAATTCAAAGTGACCCACGCCAGCCTGTTTTATCTCACTGATGTCTAGGATATCGATTTTCAAGTCTCATTTCACTTTTGACAACTTCTAATTTTCCTGGAGTCATACTTTGTATAGTTCATGTCTTTATGTTTGCAGTTGTTAAATTAGCTAATGAAGATCCAAAAGCTTTACTCAATCTACACCATTAAGGTGGCCTCTGTTTGGAGGAGGCAGCTCTTCCCAAGTCTTACTTGAGTGCCTTCCAACATGACAGACGTGTTGTACATCCCAGTATCAGTAAGGTTTTCACTGACGTAAATCCTCTTGGTTCTTCCGAGCCTGTCTTACTCTGGAAGCACTGCTGAAACTTACCAACCATGGGTGACCCTGCTGCCATGTGAAATGTCAGTATCCCCAGCATTATAGCAACATGCAAGCCAGTATACTGCACCAA